AAAAGGATGCAGTGATATCGACCCGTTGTAGCAGCATATTTGGGTTCTTCAGACAAGATGTGGGAAAAACACTCAACTGTGCCTGAGGAGCGGCATTTTGTGCTGATCAGGAAGCTGCAGTGAGAAGGGGAAGGCAGGAAATCTCCATTCTACCATTAGAAAATCAGAAGGCTAAAAGAAAAATTCAGAAGGCTAAAAGAAAGGCTAAAATCAGAAAAATTCAGAAGGCTAAAATCAGAAGGCTAAAAGAAAAATTCAGAAGGCTAAAAGAAAGGCTAAAATCAGAAAAATTCAGAAGGCTAAAATCAGAAGGCTAAAAGAAAAATTCAGAAGGCTAAAAGAAAGAGTCATTCATGTTACCTTTTAGGTTTCTGATTTCTAAATTCTTCTGAAAGGATGTCAGTTTTAAATGTTTGAGATTCATGGCACTAGGACAGACAAATTAAATGTCTCAGCTTAACCTCTCTTCGCTGACAGCACTGAAAGTTTTTGAATTAGTGTTTTGATCCCCCCCCAGCATAAAGCTCACTAAAAGTATGAGAGTGATCGATGCACAGAACAGCAGCACCCCCTTGCTGCTAATCTCATGTCAGAATTTTGGCAGACTATGATGATGAAAGTCAGCCTCCATATTTGTACAATTGTCCATTCTTTTAATCGTACATAATATGCAAATAAATGGTATTCTTCCAGCTGAACATACTTTCCAAATGTGATGTTTCAGTGCTGTTTCACAACACTGTGTTTTCCAGTCCTAAACGTGTTCAAAAAAGAAGGTTCCCTCATTGTGTCTGTGAATTACTGTGGAGGCTCACTAGTCATTACAATGTGATAACATGAATGTTTTCTAAAATTCTGACTTGGGGCCATTCCACAATCCAGGATTGCCACTGAGTAGGTGCTTGAGAGCTGCAGCTGATCCTGCCTTTCTGATGACTGCATTTATATGATGCATATGTTTCCACGTACACGTTCCTCTCTTTCTTCTGTTGTACTTTTTGTATATGAAAAGTACATTTGTTGAAAATAATATTTGTTGAAAATAATAATGTGTGGAGCAGCCTATAATGAAGGCAGGCATCTTTGTGCTATCGTTAAACTGAGCCAAAGCTGGATGAGAACGCTGTTCTTGAACGTGGTTATCATTCCCGTGTGTTCCGTGTATTTTGCAAGTATCTTAGTAGTAAGACACACCTTTCTGTACATTCCAGCTTAGACCAGACTGTGCTTCTGGATTTTTACCTGAATGTCCCAGCCTGTAACATCTGTCTTTGATCCCTCTTTGCCAGGAGAACAAGCTGAAGTTCTCTGCTTATTTGGAAGAACAGTACAAGGTGAAGATCAACCCTTCCTCTTTGTTTGATGTGCATGTCAAGAGGATTCACGAGTACAAGAGGCAGCTGCTCAACTGCCTACATATCATCACTCTCTATAACCGTAAGTATTTTAACCAGCAAAGCAGCAACTTCCAGGAGAAAGTAGACATAATTATAAATGCGTGGCTGCCACTGAAAACAGCTGTCGTGTGTCTAGTTCCCCTCTTTCTCTCTGTAACGTTTCGTACAACTTAATTTGTGTCATGATGGCATAGCATTCTGTGTGCCTCTGTCCCCGCCATCAGCAACCAATGATGCTGAGCAGGGAGGCAGGGAACCCCAGAACTTTGTGGGTCCTCAAGTTGCTACAAAGGAGGAAGATGGAACTAGATGCACAGCTGCTGCTTTTGAGGGCATGTATCGTTGGCCCTGTCAGATGGCTGTTTTAATTGTCTGGGCAACATGATCTTAAGGCCTTGTCTTGCAAGTGTCCTGTGTGAAATGCTGAGCATGTATGCAGATTTAAAATGGTGCTGATGTCAGGTCATACCCTCGGCCTTTGGGAAGAAGCAGCCAAAAAAAGAAAAGCATTCAGTTGAAAATACAAAAAACAGCTGTTGCTCTGTGCACCACACAGAGATCTTCCTAGTAGGTGGAGAGTGGCAGAAAAACATGGTAGTCCTTATATGAATGATCCTGGAGATTAATTTTACTTTGTGCCCAAGTTGCCCCATTTGGAGTCTCTACTAAGATATGCTTGGAATAGTTGAGATAGCCCTCAAAGCAATGGAATTAAATATATACCAATGCAAAATATCAGTTTTGCCAAGAAACACAATTAGAGAGATTTCAGAAATTGCAGACTGAACCTTCACTTCTGCAGAATTTCAGGATCTGAGGGGGGGGAAGGGGTGAAAGATCTTTCCTAATTTCTGATACGGTGGCTCACAGATCTCCTCCCAGAGCTTATCATAACAGAAAATAAACTGTGAGTAGGTCTGCCTTGTTGGGGCCTCTGCAGTCAGATCCTTGCAGAGATATTATATTGTGCTTTGCAAGATTTCCTGTAAAAGAAGTCTTGCTCAAAGAACTGAACAAAACCCAAACAGTCTCCTTTAACAGTGCACTAATTGCAGTATTTTGGAATTCAAGCACTGATACTCTGAGCATGGAGGTGCATTTCTCCTTTTCACAGAGCAACTGCATGCTGCCAGTACTGGTTATTACTGGGGCTCCGCCTTCAAACTGATTATCCATGGGGAAGGGCCAACATGGACAGCAGCTGCTCTGCAAGAGGCAGGAGAAATGTCGACAAATCTGAACATTTTACAGCCAACTGGCTTACTTGCGCATGAAGATGAAGAGGACATCCAACTCGGAAGACTTTGATAGATTCCATAATCAGTCCAGAAAACCTGACAAGAGACTAAAACTGAAATTTAGAAATCAGAATTGAATCTTTGTGTTGCAAGTTCCCCTGGACCATCCATACCACCTTCCTCCAATACTTGTCACAAGAAGTGACTATATATAGTTTCAGTTGAAAAAACAAACAATGTTATCTTCCTTGCACAGGAAACTATGCAAAGACTTGAAGTCAGATAAGAGGTTTTCTTCCTGGTAATGAATGTCTCGCAATGCTCATTGCTTAGCTCTTAAAGTTAATCGTTAACCTGTAGTGTTAAACTTTGTTACAAATAATGATGTACCTGTGATAAAGTGGCAGTAAAGCCTTCTGTTCTACCTCCTCAGCTGTCTGCCTCGAGCTCTGGTTTAGGCCTGTGAGGCAGCTCGGATCCTTTCTGGCTGAGCTTTGTCTGCCTCCCAGTGTCCTTGTTTTCTGTTCCTTAACACAAGCAGTTTATATCCTTCCCAGTTAGGAACAGAGACAATTTGCGTAAAGATTTTGCAGTCGTTCTTCTTGGAGATAAATGCCTCATTATGTAGGACCTGCTAGCTTATTGGTCAGGATTTAGAAGTACTTCACCAAAAGGGTGCCACTCCATGCCACTCCAGCTCTTGAGGTAGTGGTCTGTACCACACCAAGATGTTTGCAAGCATACAGAAGTGCATTTGGGAGTCTGGCCAGAACCTTATATAGTTGAGAGAGAAAAAGAGAGAGAGAGGCTGGTAACTTGTTCTTCACTGAGAATCTAAAACAGAAACTTGTCTTGATCTGGAAGGCTAGGTTTTTACAGGAAGTATTCTGTATGGTTTGCTTATCTTGTGCCTGGACTTATGATAGGAGCTAAACCAGAGTTGCTGAAATTACTGCATTATCTGTGATACTCTTAGACTTGCACTGTTAAGACAAATTATTAAGGAAAAAACCCACCCTTGAAGAAGTTGTGATGCTTGAAGAGTGTGCAGTGTTGCACAGTTTTTGAAACAGTTAGTGTTCTCTATGAAAAGGCACTTTATCAGGTGTTCTTAGAAATGACTGCATTCATTGTCAGCTTCATCCGTACAACTGCTTTACTCTTTTCAGGTATTAGAAAAGACCCCAAAAAATCCTATGTGCCAAGAACTGTTATGATTGGAGGAAAGGTAAGGGCTTTACTGTTTTACCAGCAGTCAGGGCAGAGTGTTTCCCAGATCTCAAATAGCTGATGTGCGCTCTGTTCCCCAGTTAGAGGCCCACTCTTGTACCTGCAAAGGCTTCATTCCAGATTTACCTACTCTGAGAGGAGGCCACTCACTGTATTCCTACATGAGTCACTGATCTGGACATTTCTCATAAGCGGGAGCCCAAATCAGTGACTCGTGGAGAGTTGACTCTGATACCAGCAGTCACTACTGCATTTCTACATCAGGAGCAGTTATACAGTCATACCTCATGCAGAAACCCAGCAGAGGCTGATGGGCAGGAAGCAGTGCCAAAACAGTAAATTAAATAGACACATGGCAGATACCCTCTTCTGTAGAGTTTTTAATAACTTATTGTATTATGTTTATAATGTAATGTTTTATTGTGTTTGAAACCTTATTGTATTATTTGAGATGATGTGACCCGCCCTGAGCCTGCTCACGGGATGGGCGGGATTACAAATACGGAAAATAAATAAATAAATAAAATATGGCATAGTACTGTATCCTGGCACACAGTTTGAGAATTACTGAGTTAAGATGATCTCTGGTATTGCTAAGTATCATTCTTCTGGACAGAGGCTCTGTTGCCAGAGAACACTCATCATTGAGTTGCTTGCTTTATTATGAACCTTTCCACCAATACTTTTTAAAATTGACATATCTTTTGCATTCAGGCTGCTCCTGGCTACCACATGGCAAAAATGATCATCAAACTGATCACATCCATTGGGGATGTTATCAATAATGATCCTTACATAGGAGACAGACTGAAAGTCATCTTCTTGGAGAACTACAGAGTGTCCCTTGCAGAGAAAGGTAAGATGGCCCTAACCCTTATTTCAGGATCTTCCATGCAAGAAAGAAAGTAGGTTTCTTATGCAATAGCTGCTTTCTTTCTTGCATGGGAGACCCTAGAAAGCGCCACAGAGCCCATGTGGACACACAAAGGGCACTGGGAAGCCAGACATAAGCAACGCAATGCTGTGATCTCGCTGTGAAGTCCGTTGCCATGATGCTTGCATGTCCATGGATCATACACACAGAGAGAGAGAGAGAGAGAGAGAGAGAGAGAGAAGCACACTGAGCCAGAGGATCTGATCACACAGCAATAAACAGACTACTGCAGGTCTGAAGGTGATGTGCCAGTCGAGAAGCAGCAGCCCATGGCAGGCTTTGTCTGCTCTTTATACATTTGAGGGATATGCAGTGCTCCCTTCTTCTCTGTCCTGTTGTTGGCCCATGTAGCAAGTCTGGCCCAAGATATTTTGGAGGCTGAGGTGGGAAAATCCAAATGTTCCCATAAACACAGTTATCAACACAAAGCACAAATCCAGCAGGAAGTTGACTTGTGCAGACCATGTTCAAATGAACATTGGTTATTTTCCACAGCTTTCACTGGGGCTTGTGCTAAGCGGGTAACATCACAGTGGGTTGGGCTCCATAACTGAAATCTCAGTGTCTACTACCCTGTTGCCCTAATTCTCCTCAAAAGACACCTGAGGAAACTGCTGCCTCTTGCTTCATCCTGCGATTGCCTCTGCGTTATAGCCCAGCACTGGTTGCTTTGGCAGGGCCTTGTCGATAACAGGAGCAAAGGTATTTCTCAGCCCTGCCAGTGGAGATGTTTGGGACTTGAATATGGGTCTACACCATGAGTTAGCAGCTAATGTTACCATCCTCCACGTAACAGTTGTAGGAAGTAAGAGACAATGAAAAATGGGCTATATCCCATGAGTGTATGAGAAGAGAGCTCTTATGTGATCAGCCCCAAAGTACTTAAATTCAGGGGTCTCAGATCCAATACAGGATCCCTTGACTGGTTGCAGTTCATTGGCTGTCTATCATGGTCTGCACTACAGGACAGAAGGGCTCTACCAGTGCACATCTGATGTTTGTTAGTTCAGAGCATTTTAGCTTGCTTGTCTCCAAAACTGGACTCAAGGCCGAATACAATGAAGATAAAAATCCATTAAAAAAAAATGAGAACCTTTTGACTTTGCTAGAGGCAGAGGTTTTGGCATGTTGCTTGTGCCCTACCAATGAGACCCTACAAAACATTTACTGTTCTCTTTTTCACTTCATCCCAGTGATTCCAGCTGCAGACCTGTCTGAACAGATCTCCACAGCTGGAACTGAGGCTTCAGGAACAGGAAATATGAAGTTCATGCTGAATGGAGCCCTCACCATTGGGACCATGGATGGTGCTAACGTGGAGATGGCAGAGGAAGCCGGAGAAAACAATCTCTTCATTTTTGGCATGCAGGTGGAGGATGTGGAGGCAATGGATAAGAAAGGGTTTGTATGAAGGGCAATGTGAAGAAGGCTCAATAGAAATGGGGACTTGTGTATGGAATATTTCTTTTGTGGAGTAGTAGTTTTGCCTAGTTGGTGACTCTGTGTTGAGTTCTGTGTCCCATCATTTTTTCAAGCTGCTTTGGCTCTCTCCCCATCCCCCCTCACTGTATACTCACAACATGTGGTAGGCTGAGCAATAGAACCCGGTTCTCTCCAGCAGCAGTCTGACAGTACGCACTGTGCTGTACTGCCTGTGCTTTAGTGGTTGTGGTCATGTTCCCGTTTCAGTAGCTTGAAAACAGTACAAATATAATGAAAGTGTGGGGGGGGTTAGTTGTGGAAGAAGGGCAGGAACAGTAAGCCTTATTTACACCTTGTAAAATTGTGTGTATTTGTAGATTTACACATGCACTCCCGAGGAATCTTTTCTCAGGTTCTCGGCAGAGAAAGCTTATGCTGTTGAAAGAAAAATAGATTGTAAAAATGGGGAAAGAATAATTTTATCATTCAATTTTTAGAATTCCTAAACTATACTAGTTTGCATTCTTCTGCTTTTTATGTATATATTCCACTGAAGTCCCTAAATCTGATATTGGCCAAGTCCTTTACTAAGAACTAGTCTCACTCCATGCTCTTCTGCTTACCTTGGGGTCATCTTTAAAGCTTTCCTTGGAGCAATTTGGGCAATCTTTTCTTTTTTTAAAGCAGAGCACCCACAGCGATTTGTGTTCCTTCAAGAGAGGCAAGGGTGATTGAAAATGAGCCCTTTTATTTTTCTCCTTCAGGTACAATGCTAAGGACTATTATGACAGGATCCCAGAGCTCAGACAAGTTATTGATCAAATTAATAATGGCTTCTTCTCACCAAACGATCCAGGTTGCTTCCGAGATGTTGTCAACATGCTGATGCACCATGACAGGTGAGAGCCCACAATCCAGTGCCTTTGGGACCACTAGCATTCCCTTTTTAACAAAAGCTACTTTTGAGTAATGACAGCCATATCGAGCTACTTTCCCCCCATCCCTTCAGCATGTTACCAAAAACATTTTCTGACCCAGAAACAGAACAGAGTAGGAAGAGCACTAGAAATGGATGTATCAACTGAGCAGCACAGAGATAAAAATCCTATGAAATAAAAAAGCTTTGGGGGGGGGGGAAACCCTGGAGCAGATCTTGGGGGATATTTTAAGGCCGCAAGTCTTGCACCGTTTGAAACAACCCCACCGCGGGGCCATAGGCCAGCGGATGGGAAACGAGAAAAACACAAAACAACACCCGGAGAAAAATGGTAACTACAAAAATAAAGAAAAAGAAAGTAACTAAACGCAGGTTTAGCAAAAGTTTGTACTTAACAGACCGAAGCAGAAGGCGTCCTACCAGCGCGGCGGTCAGAAGAGAACTGGCGGGATCTGCGTGCCCCTCCTTGGTCATGCGCAGTGGAGCCGGCGTGTGACCTGGGAGAGGCGCGAAAATCCCTTTTGCTAGCTATCGGTACCGAGAAGGTCAGCGCAGGCGCAGAGTATTCCCAAGGGTGTGATGCACAGAGACCACGAAGAAGATCATGAGGTAGGCTGAGCAATAGAACCCGGTTCTCTCCAGCAGCAGTCTGACAGTACGCACTGTGCTGTACTGCCTGTGCTTTAGTGGTTGTGGTCATGTTCCCGTTTCAGTAGCTTGAAAACAGTACAAATATAATGAAAGTGTGGGGGGGGTTAGTTGTGGAAGAAGGGCAGGAACAGTAAGCCTTATTTACACCTTGTAAAATTGTGTGTATTTGTAGATTTACACATGCACTCCCGAGGAATCTTTTCTCAGGTTCTCGGCAGAGAAAGCTTATGCTGTTGAAAGAAAAATAGATTGTAAAAATGGGGAAAGAATAATTTTATCATTCAATTTTTAGAATTCCTAAACTATACTAGTTTGCATTCTTCTGCTTTTTATGTATATATTCCACTGAAGTCCCTAAATCTGATATTGGCCAAGTCCTTTACTAAGAACTAGTATCACTCCATGGTCTTCTGCTTACCTTTGGGTCATCTTTAAAGCTTTCCTTGGAGCAATTTGGGCAATCTTTTCTTTTTTTAAAGCAGAGCACCCACAGCGATTTGTGTTCCTTCAAGAGAGGCAAGGGTGATTGAAAATGAGCCCTTTTATTTTTCTCCTTCAGGTACAATGCTAAGGACTATTATGACAGGATCCCAGAGCTCAGACAAGTTATTGATCAAATTAATAATGGCTTCTTCTCACCAAACGATCCAGGTTGCTTCCGAGATGTTGTCAACATGCTGATGCACCATGACAGGTGAGAGCCCACAATCCAGTGCCTTTGGGACCACTAGCATTCCCTTTTTAACAAAAGCTACTTTTGAGTAATGACAGCCATATCGAGCTACTTTCCCCCCATCCCTTCAGCATGTTACCAAAAACATTTTCTGACCCAGAAACAGAACAGAGTAGGAAGAGCACTAGAAATGGATGTATCAACTGAGCAGCACAGAGATAAAAATCCTATGAAATAAAAAAAGCTTTGGGGGGGGAAACCCTGGAGCAAATCTTCTTGCAGTCTTTGCCTAAGTCTTCTAAGGGATGCATGAACTACCGTGCAGCAGCCCTGGTGAACTGCTGGTAGTTTGTGAGCTGCCTGTGGAAGACCCCTGCTGTGTATACACTGTACATGAACAGTGGGCCATGGCAGAAGTTCATAGAGGGCAGGCTGATGGTATGCCTTCGGGTATTCTTTTACAGCCTGTCCGCACTGCCTTTCCCTCCTGCAGCATGCCATACATACACCCATTTTTGATGTGATGATTATCATAAAGAATGATTGGGAATGACATGCATGTCTAAACACTGAAAAAAATTAAAATGTGCTGGATATGTACCAGGGAGTCTGTGATCACCAATATATCCTGGTATATGTCAACTATGTGCCTTCTCTTCATGCTCTGATGCATGTCTCCTGCTGGAATTTTGGTTTTGTTGCTTTTTTGCCATCAAGTCACAACTGATTTATGGTGACCCCATACAGTTTTCAAGGCAAGAGAGGTTCAGAGGTGGTTTGCCATTGCCTGCCTCCCAACGGTGACCCTGGACTTCCTTGGAGGCCTCCCGTCCAACGACTAGCCAGGGCTGACCCTGCTTAGCTTCCAAGATCTGATGAGATCCAGTCAGCTATCTAGTTCAGGGCCCTGCTGGAATAAATTCTGCAAATATGTCTGCTTCAAAACATGTTAAGTGGTCCTCACGTGAAATATTCAGGGGATAAGGTGGCCTGGAAGTCAAATTCTGTATTTGAGATTTTTAGCTTTAAATCCAAATGTGTGGTTATAATTAGTCAGCAGCGATGAAAATGCTTCTGTACGTGGGCATGAAAAAACAAACAGAGCTGAGATTTCTAAGACTGCTGTCAAACTCATTAAAAACATATGTACAACTATATTAAACTTGCTGACAAAAACGAACTTCAGCAATATTACTCAGTCAGCCAAAAACCCTCCTGAGCAGCAACCAGGCTCCTAAAGCTTCTTGAAGTCAAGCCTGTCTAGGCAGACAGTTCCACAAACAGGGTGCCACCATAGAAAAGGCCCTGTTCCCTATCCCCATACGCTTTATTTCTGAAGGCGGTGGTACCCAGAATAGAGCTTCAGTCCTAGATCTTATATGGGAACATCCAAGGCAGATAAGATAGATTGAAGCTTGTATTGATTAAAGCACACCTCCTGCTTGTTATTTACCCACTATCCTTTGTGCTTCTAAGTGCATCAAGCTCAGAAGAACTAGTCTTCAGCCCACTTTCTTTACCTTTGTTTCAGGTTTAAGGTGTTTGCTGATTATGAAGCCTATATCAGATGTCAAGGGCAAGTGGACCAGTTGTTCATGGTAAGAGTTAATTTTGCCACACTGGGACTTATGTCATGGTAAGAGTTAATTTTGCCACACTGGGACTTATGTCCTAGCTTACCTAGCTGGTAAGCAAAGGATCTTCTTTGTTAAGCAGATTGAAGACTCACATAAGCTTCTGGTTCCATAGCACGCTAGTGTGGAAATCACTCAGTGTTTGGATATTTAAAGAAGCATGGCTGTTGTGGTCTTATCTGTATCCATCACTTCCTTCCTGAAATGACTATTGCTATCACAGCAGGAGTAGATGCACTCTTTTCTCTGCCTCAAGCTCTTGAGAGAGGGCAAGGCCTACCACGAGCATCACCGAAGGTTTGTACAAGTGTGTGAAGAAAACACTAGCTAGCAAACCAACGCTTGAGTTTGGGGTAGTGGTTAAGAGTGGCAGGATTCTAATATGGAGAACCGGGTTTGATTCCACACGCCTCCACATGCAGCCAGCTGGGTGACCTCGAGTCAGCCACAGCTCTCTCAGCCCCACCTACTTCACAGGGTGCCTGTTGTGGGGAAAGGAAGGGATGGTGATTGTAAGCCACTCTGAGACTCCTTCGGGTAGTGGACGGTGGGGTGTAAAACCAACTCCAACTTGCCAGACAGCGTAGATATAAGCAAATGTAGCCCCACATAGTCCACTTCAATGACTCTGAAAATTCAAAGCACATTTCACCATTGGAAAAATGTGGATGATCAAAGAGGCAGCTTGATCTCTCCCTTGCAATACAATATGAAAGATGACATCATTGTGAGGGAAAGGGAATATATATTGCAGGGATCCCCAGAGGGGATGGGCTTTATAGTGCAGTGATGCCACAGTTGTGGCAGAGGTCGAGCAGCGCATCTCCCTGCACACAACTGACCATTAAGAGGTGAATGGAGGTCATGCTCCCACTGCCACACACTGTCTTCAGTCTTCACTTTTCCCCATGAAAATTGAACGGCAGCCATTCGCTTATACGAGGGAAACACCATAGGGGTTGGGGGCTGAACATCCTGGAGTCCTGCGTCTGTGTCAGACTCTGTTACCCATCATGTGTGTCCCATGTGGCAGCCCCGTTTTTTCTCTATAGTGTTCAGTGGGAACCATGTGAGGGGTTGGGGGCTGAACATCCTGGAGTCTTGCGTCTGTGTCAGACTTTGTTACCCATCACGTGTGTCCCATGTGGCAGCCCCGTTTCTTCTCTATAGTGTTCAGTGGGAACCATGCGCATAACTCTGGACTGGGCTCCAGTTCTGGACTTGTGTCATACTAGAGTGTTATGGAACCACGACAAGTCTCTGTGTATTACGATAACCCTGGTTCTGAAGTCCCAAAATACCAGAATTTCCAACAAATGGCATGTTTTCTTCCTAGAATCCCAGAGAGTGGACTAAAAAGGTGATCAAGAACATTGCATGCTCTGGCAAGTTTTCCAGCGACAGGACAATCACGGAGTATGCCAGAGAAATCTGGGGCGTGGAGCCTTCGGCTGTGAAGATCCCCCCTCCCAACATCCCCAGGGAATAATCGGCTGCAGAGGTGCATGCGAAACGCCCTGGTTGGCTTGCCCCTGAGGCACTCCTGCTTCCCAACAAATTTCCCACAGATGAATTCAACGTGCATTTTACCACCCGTCGATAGTCTCATATTTATAAAAGACATGGTGGTTACTTGAAATGGAGATGACTGGTGCTGTGGCTGAGGATGGTAGTCATGACAGCAGAAGAAATGGGGGGGGGAGGAGTTGACCAAAGTCCAGCTGATGATGGGGAGGGAAGCAAGACCTAAAGAGATGAGCTCAAGAAAGGCAATCAGATGGAGACGTTCTCTCTCTGTTAATGCTCATATTTAACCAATGCAGTTTATTTGCATGTACTATATGTCAAGATGGTACCTGAATGGTCAGACTCTTACGTTCGTAGCAAGTCCTCCTCCTTAGTAACTAAATGGAATCCTAGGTCTATTAGGAAAGTTGGCTTGTGAGCTGTGGTGGGTTGAATGGATTTCCTCTGAATAAACAGGTGCTGCCCTCTAGAGGAAGGCTAAACAAGGGCTAGCTGGAGCCCTTCTATGACACCCCCCCCAAGTGCATTTTCCCAGTTCCTTGTCATAAAGAGATTTCTGCCCTGCCTGTCGTAAACCCTTGACGACCACAAGTGGTTCTCATTAACCATTTCCATTTCACTAAGCAATTTGCATGCACTGTAAAGAATGATCAAGAACACGGAAATAAATTAATAAATGTTTGGAAGGAGCTGGCCATGAGACACTGGTGTTAGGGACTATGAGCTGTGTTAACATTGCTGAATGCAGAACAGCCCATTGAAGCACTATTCGTGCCAAGCAGCACACAGAATACACTGTGAGAGCACAAAGTCTTTTGTGTTCTCCCTTGCCACCATCTTTGTAGGGCTAGGCCTACACAACTTGTGACCCATTATGTGTATTGCGTGATTTGCCATGTGCTCGACCGTCCCCAGGGCGAGAAGCAAAAACAGGGTGTTCACTGAGTCAGCTGCCAAGCTTGGTGGATGGGGCTGCACTTGACTTGGCAAGTTACAAGTTGAACGGCCCTTCTAAAGCAGTCACATTAAGGGATGTTTATTACAGTCTCGTTTCTGCTGTAGCCAGAAGACCCACCTTGTAGCAGTCCTATCTCGAGTCCCAACCCAGGAGCCTTCATGCATCAGTAGATGCCACATTCCTACCTTAATAAAAGAAAACAGCACCCGCTGTTCGACCTTTGAAAATTTAATTTCATCATATTCAGAAATCTTTATTTTGTCTATATTTGCTCTATAGTGTGAGCTAGTAACTGAGTGAAAGACTGACATCTCAGTGTGTAACAGTTTAAGGGAAATTTACAATTTGGAGGAGATTTTCCCATTTGGGCCTAGGCTGGCGATGTAATTTGCACTTTAATGTAAAATATCGGGATCTGAAATGCAGGTCACATGAATGTACTACCCAAGCAGGTTCCAGAACCAGAGAGTTCATTAAAAAAAAATACTAAATTGGCCTTTTGAATGGTCAGGAATTATACTTAGCTAGTATTAGTGTGAGGAAATGTTGAAGAACTCCATATGTAGAACAAATCCCCTTATTTTTTTCAATTTCTCCTTAGACAAACACCACCAGGTGACAAATCCCTGCCTGTATTAATGGGTCACAATCATGTACATTTTGAACAGGTCGTTGGCACAGTCCATATGAACAACCACCACCTGTTCAATAGGAAGCTCTTATCCACTTAAGTGATCTGCATTATCAAAGATGACCGTGATGATTCCCTGGGAATCCGACTTAAGCCAATGCTCCTCTGTGTGCGGAATATCTTACGAAATCAGTCAATTAAAATGTGCATAATAAAGAAAAAGATTCTTATCAAGAATAACTTAAAGTCATTAAAGAAGGCTTTTTTCCAGCCTTCTGACATGGCTCTCACAGGTCCTTTTCTATCATCTACAATGTTCCATAAGTATCATCAATAGTGAGGGAAGTATCTCCACATCTGCCAATGAGTGCATGCTACTGGCAATGAGGCAAGAGGCTCTTTATGAAACTATGTCAATGACTTAAGGCAATAGGGCAGTTTTCACATTCAGCAGTGACCTTATGCTCTGAGTTTCTGGTCTCTGCACAAAATGGACCAAGATATTTCAGATATAGGAGATCATATCGCAGGAGCTAGGACTTAGTAATCCATTCGGTCCCTTCCAGCTCCTGCTTTTCCATGAAAATACCTAGAAACAGGTAGGAACTAAGGCTGGCTCATGCACAAACACGGCTTCATTTCTTGTTTTGTTTTCTGTAGTCTACTGGCAGCTGAAAGTGTAAACTGACTCCACTGAAAATTTGATATTGATGAAAGACCTATCTGCGGTGTAATATTTCTCATGGGCCATTGGCACATACAGATCATTTGATGTTGCAGTCATCCAGTGAAAAATAGGCATGTGCAACTGCAAGCGTGCCCAATAGACATTTTAAGACAAGGGCTAGCCTTAAGATGGGTAGGCATTTCTGAAACCACGGCTGTGTTCTTCAAAAATTATAACCTACAATAACTGCAGAGCTAAATACTGTGATTTATTCCAGGCAAGACCATCTCCTCTTGTCCTGATTAGTTGCACTGCATCAAACACCCTGATCTCATAACTAAGCCAAGGGAGCTCTCAATGTGCACCTAACTAGCTTGCTCTCCAGAAGGGCTTTTTCATTCTCTTCCATGCAGGAGCAGTTCCGTTTACATTCCTTTGCGCCCACAGAGCTGTCCCTCCATTGAAGTGAACTGGAGTCTGTGCAGGTACAGGAGTGGTGTGCAGGTATTGTAGCACATACAAAGTCTGGAGGAGAGAAAGACTCATGCCACATGGTTTTGATTCATTCAATCAACAACAAACTAGGGTTTTCCAGAACACAATTTTATGCATTAGAGTTAAAGCTGTTAAAACTCATCCTTTAATTTTTTAAGTCTGATATCATCAGTTCCATTGCTTTCGTATCAATCCTGTCTTGCTGCCCACAAAAAATTCCAGAACACTTAAAATATCCTTTCTCAGTTGTCAAGAGAATGAATTAAGAGAGAAAAGTGAGGGTTTGGTTTGTGTTTTCAACAACCTAGAATTACATCACTACTTTCTTTCACTAAAGACACACAGTCACTGTTAAGCAAAAGCAGTTGCTTGCATGCCAATAGTCTCATGATCTGTCTGGGGTTTTTTGCACTGCACTTGGCTGACAATTCTTCATTGTCTTGTTGCAATTTTATTGTTGGCATTTTAGCACTGTGAGCCACTTTTCCCTACTAAAGATGGCATCTCTTCAGACAAGAAATTGCCTAAAACAGATGAATTGGTGATTGCTGAATTTCTGATTTACCAAAATGCTCAATTGCTTGCAAAATATGTGTTTTGTCACTTTCATGGCATTGTGGGACTGTGTGTGTTTATAATATTCCTGTTATTCTTGAGTGCTTTCAACATTATTAAAGCAAACTGCACACACTTCCGTGAGACTCTTTATTTCTCTGTGCTGTGTGTGGAATTGCAGACATAACTGTTTTGTGATAAGAGTGCCATACAGATTAAGGGGTTGGAGGAGTTGTTCTCAGAGATTAGCCTTCATCATATTTATGGCCACATTTCTTCAGTGAACTTCAAGTGGTGTACTTGAGGTTCATAGAACATCTCCTGCCCAGGCACTGACCAGACCCATTCTTGCTTAGTTTCTGCAAAGACACTACATCAAAGGCATCCAAACCACAGGCTGGGCTGTAGTCACTGGCTTTCAAAGTAAACTGACTCTTTGCGACCCCATGGACCACATCATGCCAGGCTCTCCTGTCTTCTGCCGTTCTCTGGATTTTGCTCAATTTCATGTTCGTTGTATCAGTAACACTGTCTAGGTCACCTCGTCCATGCAGGAAATTCACAACTACCTCTCGCCTGTCATGGGCTGGGGTGCCAGTCAAAGGGAGTCCAGAACAGGCCAAGGTCAGGAGCCAAGAAGACAGTAGAAAGTCCAATGTCAAGTTGGGGCCAGGAGCCAGAAACACAGAGCCAAGTCCAAAATCACTAACCAGAAGTGTAGTCCAAAGCCAAACTGGGGTCAGGAGCCAGGAACACAGAGCCAAGTCCAAAGCCAGGAGGTCCAAAGGTCTAGGGTGCAAGGGCTGAGCCAGAGTGGATGCCACGAAGCTGACTTGTTGTTTCCATGAAGAGTACTGCCCAGAGTGCGGCATTAAATGCTGCTACCGATTAGCCAGCTGCACGATCACCCAGGCTCCTGTTAGAACTCTGGGCTAGCCAAGCATCTTCCCTGTAGCCTGGCCTCTCGTTGCCTGGTTGCTAAGTTTTGCCGCAGTTGTTCCCTTAAACAAGTCACGTGGGGGTGAGTCAGGAGGACTTTCAGCTTGCAATTCTTCCCCCTTATCTGGGCCAGGTGTTTGGGGCACTGCTGTTACAGGCAACTGCGAGCTATCCTCTACTGCTTCAGAGGGGCCAGCTGCTGTTTCTGCAAGATCTGGCAGCTCTTCCTCATCCACGCCCATGACACCGCCCACCTCCATTCCCCCAGTGACCCGTTCTTCCCCAGAGGAAGGCAAAAATCCAGGCCAATCTGGCCTGGAATTCCTTCCTGACCCTAAAGTGGTGATCGGCCTTATGGTCAGCATGTAAGAAAGAGCCAAAACACTAGCTCGTCCCTTCCTATCCTCCCTCTCATGATCTGCCTAATTTCAGAGAATCAGTGTTGTTGTCAGATGGCCATCTAGCCCACTTAAAAACCACTAAAGAAAGCTCATCACTTCCCGAGGAGCCTGTTCCACTGAGGAACCACTCTGTCGGGAAGTTCTTCCTAATGTTTAGCCAAAAGCTGTTTTGATTTGATTTCAATCCATTGGTTCTGGTCTGACCTGGGACAACAGAAAATAACTGCTCCATCCTCTATATGGCAGCCCTTCAAATACTTGAAGATGGCTAGCATATCACCTCAGTCATCTCCAGGCTAAACATACCCACCTTCAACCTTTCTTCATAGGACTTGGTCTCCAGACCCTTCACCATCTTTGTTGCCCTCCTCTCGACACGCTTCAGCTTGTCAGCATCCTTAAACTGCAGTGCCCCCAAACTGAACACAATACTCCAAGTGAGGTCTAACCAGAGCAGAGTAAAGCGATACAATCACTCTGCATGATCTGGACACTATACCTCTGTTGATGCAACCCAAAATCACATTTGCCTTTTTATTCATTTATGTATTCAATTTATACCCTGCCCTCCCCACCAAGGCAGGCTCAGGGCAGCTTACATAAAAATTAAAACAGCTAAAAACAGAACATTTGTAAAACCAATCATAAAGTGCTAATATGCAGTGTTATGTAATGATGGCGAGACATATTAACAAATTGTCTTAACAGCAGATCAACCCTAATGGGGTACAATCAGCGTTGATGTTAGGACTATCTCCGTCCATTCATGCCAATGAAGCACAGGCTGCTGATGGTAATACCAGGGCACAGGGTTCTACAGTGCAGCTCTTTGGTCAAATGCCTGGCGGAAGAGCTCCGTCTTGCAGGCCCTGCAAAAGATCCCACAGGGCTCTGATGTCTTCTGGGAGCTCATTCCACCAGCGCGGAGCCACCACCGAAAAGTCCCTGGCCCTGGTCGTAGCCAACCTGGCATCTTTGGAACCTGGGAGGGCCAGACAGTTTTGAGACCCTGAACGCAGTGCTCTCTGGAGAATGGCGGTCCCTCGGGTATGTAGGCCCCTGACTATAAAGGGTTCTAAAGGTAAGAACCAGCACCTTGAACTGCTACGATCCTAGAAGCTAAAAAAAATATATTCCGCAGGTTAGGAAAGGCACAAACAGGTATAGGAAAAAGCCTGCATGGTTAACAAACAAAGTAAGGGAAGCTGTAAAAGGTAAAAAGGATTCCTTTAAGCAGTGGAAAGCTAGTCACAGTGAAAACCAGCCAGGGAGGCAGTGGGGCCCTTGGATGACCAAGGGGTAAAAGGAGTACTGAAGGATGATAGGGAAATGGCTGAGAAGCTAAATGCATTTTTTGCCTCCATCTTCACTGTGGAAGATGAGAGGTGCTTGCCCACTCCAGAGCCGCTGAGTTCGGGAGGGGTGTTGAAAGACCTGAGTCCGATTGAGGTGACGAGAGAGGAGGTCCTAAAACTGATAGACAACTTAAAAACTGATAAATCACCAGGCCCAGAACATCCGAGAGTTCTGAAAGAACTCAAATGTGAACTTGTGGCTCTCCTGACTGTTGCTTTGATGTTTGGGGCCTAATCTTAATTCCTGCAGGCTAAAAAATGGGGGGGGGGGAATAGGCAAAGCCTTCCCAAAATACAGATAGGCAGGTCTAATACAGAATCTAAGAAAAGGCTGTTTTGTGGTGGGGCAAGTCTGATTGGGTGATAAAGATGTGCAAATATCAGTTCTTTATTCAAGCTGCTTAGGCACTAATAAAGAAGTGGCCAAGTTTGCAAACGACACAAACTTATGCAGGATGGTAGACAGTAAGGATAACTGTGAAGAGCTCCAGGAAGAGCTCCACAAATTGGGTGCGTGGGCAACAACTGACAGATGAAGTTCAATGTTGATAAGTATGTAATGTGATGCACACTAGAACAAAAAGTCCCCGCTTCAAGTATAGGCTAATGGGGCCTGAACTTGCTGAGACTGGGAGGGGAAAGAATCTTGGGGTCACACTAGACACAGCTCAATGCAAGTGTCAATCCAGTGTGCTGCAGCCATGAAAAAGGCAAATTCTACGTTGGGGATTATTAGGAAAGGGATTGGAAATAAAAACAGCCAATATTATGTGGCCTCATTTGGAATACCGTGCACAGGTCTGGTCACCGCATAACTCTAAAGGGACACTGCAGAGATGGAAAAATACAGAAGAGGGCAACTAAGATGATTAGAACACTTTCCCTATGAGGAGAGTCTGAAAAGTCTGGGACTTCTCCATTTAGAAAAGAGACAACTAAGGGGGGGAAATTACAGGGGCTTATAAAATTATGCATGGGGTGGAGAGAATTGACAGAGATTTTTTTCTCCCTCTCTCCAAATACTAGAACTTGAGGGCATCCAATTAAGCTGAGGGGCAGTAGATTCGGGACAGATAAAAGCAATACTTCTTGACACAGAGAGTGATTAAAATGCGGAATTCGCTGCCAGAGGATATAATGATGGCCACAGGCACAGACAGCTTTAAAAAGGGGATTGGACAGATTCATGGAGAATAGGTCTATCAGTAGCTACTAGCCATGGTGACCGTGGGGAACGTCCACGTTCCGAGGTAGTCAACCTCTGAGTCTCGGTGCCAGGAGGCAACATCAGGAGAAAACCTCAGCCTCTATGCCCTGTTGTTGGAACTCCAGAGCAACTGGCTGGCCATTGTGTGATAAAGGATCCTGGACTAGGTAGACCACTGGTCTGATCCAGGAGGGTCTCCTCTTATGTTCCTATGGTGATCCAGCTTCAACTGTAGCTTCTCCACATGTGCAATGATCTCTCTGCCGTACACAGCAGCCCACACTGCTCCTCTGAAATCTTGTTCCAGGGGGGTCTCCTGTCACCCAAGAGCAGGATTCCAGGGGCCTTTTTGCGCTTCTCTGGGAGGCAGGTAAGTCACTCTCCATGGCCAGAGATGCTTATGCTCGCGGAAACACTAGCCTGGACCCAACCCTTGTCTACTCCCAAATCAGTAAAAACTGTTTTGGCCCTCCCCCTTTCAAAACAGCTTTGTCCTACAGTACAGGGTACTACAAGGAGGAGGAGGAGGAAAGGAGACTGGATTTATACCCCGCCCTTCACTCATAGTCTCAGAGCATCTTACAAACGCCTTTCCCTTCCCCTCTCCACAACAGATACCCTGTGAGGCAGGTGGGGCTGAGAGAGCTCTTTCAAGAACAGCTCTGACAGAACTATGGCTTTCCCAAGGTCATCCAGCAGCTGCAAGTGGAGGAGTAGGGAATCAAACCCAGTTCTCCCAGATTAGAGTCTGCACACTTAACCACTACACCAAACTGACTCTCCCAAACTGCACCCCCCCAGGCAATGTGCTGAGTCTGTCACACTGTTCTTTGGCTTGGGCCTGTGATGAATTGAAAGTTCTTGTCTGTAGAGAACATTTCTCTTGCCAAATGAGTTGGTGCAAAAACTGCTTGTAACTTATGCCTGCACTTCCCCAGAGCAAGTCACAACAGGCCCACTTTATTTTTCTATGCATCTTCAAATATGAACTTTTGAGGCCTGCCTACAGCCCATAAGACTTCACACACAAAAAGCCGGCAGAAAGTCAGAAGTCATTTGTTTTAATAAAACAACACACTTTTAAGTAAACATTTCCATTTCAATGCATGTTACTGGCTTAATAATTGGAGTGTGTTGGAATAAACAGCACTGGTACATGCTTTGGAATCTTTTTTTTTTTTGCACGGGAGAAGTTAACATTTCCACATCAGTTTGTACTTTTATCATCACCAAAGTGACACAGTAGCAGCAGCAAGACAGAATGTACCAATTGTTTCAGCAAAAAGTCAAGAATTTCTGTCCTTGTCAATGCACTAAACAAGCTTGGGGGGGGGGGAGGACACGGAATTATCATGAATTAAAATCTTAGTTGACTTCACTACAGCAGGAAACCCCAAAGCAAAGAACAAGCTACTGTCTGCTTTGCAATTACGACAAATCTGTAAGGTAAGAGACTTCTGATGCATGCGAAACTGAGTATTCCGTATACAGATGCTATTAGCAAACAGCACCCTCCAGGTACGTAAGGCTGGAGAATTCACTTCTGTACACAAGTGCCTAAGACTACTATGCTTGATATTGCACATTTGGGGAACAGCACACTTCGGGGCCATTTCCACAGTGAATCCGGGGCTAATGAAAGCCACCTGCTTGGGCCCAACAGCTACAACGGCTGTAATTCATCAATATCACTCACTCCTACTTGCAGTGCTTCCAACTGTCTGCCACGCCATGCCTGCATGAGTAGTGACTCAGAATCCTGAACGCAGCACAGGGAGAGTATTGTCTAGCTTTGTGGGAGCTGTGGCAGAGGGGAGGATAGCAGAACCATGGCAACCTAAAAGCCATACGGTGGGTGAACCAAGGACTAGCTTTGCATCATCTTCAGCTATCTCCACGCGTCATTAAGCAATATAGATATTTCCAATTTATATGGGCAAAAGTATTTTTATTAAAAAATAATCAGTAAACGTAATGCATTGGACAAGCTAGAAGTTACAGATATTGCTTAAGTAATAACGCCACCTGCCCAGGGCCTGCAGACTCTTGTCACAAAGGTATCCATTTCATGATTGCCAAAAATAGTCTCCAGCAGTCCCAATGAGACTATGGTCAATCTCGTGAGGTATGGGAGAAGTCTGGCCAAGGCAAATCAAGGTGGGGAACAAGAAAAGTAGATTGAGTACTGGTCAGTAGTTATATTAGCTGCCTGCTAACTTGGGAGGACAGCAATGATGGCTTTCTAAACTAATAGTTGCCTTTCTTTATGCCTGACCTGTGCCAATGGAGGAAGACATTCAAGGCTGGTCAGGAGTCTTCATGTATCTTCAGTTCTTACATAAGAGACAAAAACAAAGCCAGTGGTCAACTTTTAAGCAGAAATAAAATAGTGTTATGGAACAAGGATAAGGCGTTGTTAGTAAAAAGAGTTTAGCTGTCAGTACCTTTGGTTGATTTGGATAAAGTTTGGGGTTTCTTATATTTTTTCTTAAACTGTTAGTATTTGCACTATTCAGAATGTACTGAAGGAGAAAACCTGTTTATTGCCAATGAAAAACACAAAAACATCTCAAGTTAGGTGGTTTCATTTTTATGTTGAATCTCTTGTATTTAGAATAGCCGAAAACTTTTGATCACCTCTAATGCACCTGAGTATTTTTTAGCAAATGGTATGTGTGTTTACTAAGGATGGATACCAATTTTCTCACTCCCAAAGTGCTTATAGGCGTCTCTGATTAGAGGAGACTGGAAGACATCTTCACTGCAGTGGTAAAATGAATTCTTTTATCATTCTACCCTTCTCTTTGCAAGAAGCAAAACAAAAGAAACTGTCCTTCAAAATAATTGATTCCATAATTCACAATCAACACATTTTACATCACTTGAGGCCTGTTTATCTAGCAAAAACTGTTTAGAGATGAGGAAAGACAATCTCCCTAAGGATGTGTCTGCTTATGAGGTGTAATTAAGATGCTTACAATCAATATAGGGGAAAGAGCTTTGAAACCTGAAACCATGGCAGTGGAGAAAGGGACACTTTATCACAAATTATCCCTTTTAAATAGTTGCCTCATTTTAAACATCCTTCATTTCATTTTGAAATGTTTTCTTGCAACGCTCCTGATCGCAGAAATTTCTCAAGCCTATTTAAGAACCAGTACTACTTGTCATTTTCAGGAATTCCCAAATTCAATGATTCCACAACAAACAAACAAACAACTCATAGAACTAAATTCTACTGAAAGAGCCTGTAGTACAGGTACAAGAGATGCACCATGGAAAGATTAAGTTATATTCTTGTAGATAAATCACACCCCATTTGCATTCCAGAAGGTTTCTTCTTCTAAAGAAGTGCACAGTACAACTTGCCTCTGTAGGAAAGTTCACAAATGTTCATGGATTTTGCCATGTCTTTCTTGTGCTTGAATTATTCAGATGCATTTGGTTGACTTGTCCTTGTTCTTTTAAGTAAAAGCTGGAAAAAAAGACAAAAACTAACTATATTCTCTCTCTTCACATCTACTATTCCACGGGCTGGGTATCCAAGGCTATGCAATGGGACTAAAGCAAGAATCTGGGACTCATCCCATGCCAGGATTTTTAAAAATGGCATTTTTTTTTTAAAGTGACACAATTTTAACTCTACCATGCAGGTATCTCTTCAGTGACGATGATGCTCATGTTCAATTTTTCCCAGGAATTCCCTAAGAAACAGGAAAAAAAGAGCAAAGCCACAGCAGTTTTTAGAGAGCCAAACACTTTGGTCCTTTAGCTTCATCCACTGTCTTCCCACATGACCCTGAGTTTTCAGACACTGGCATCAATTAGCATCTTTACACTTGAATTCTCTCGTATCTCACTTTCTCTGACAGAGCCACAATACTTAGTGTGGTCTCTAGTAATGTATTTGGACTGGGGAGACCTGGGTTCAAATCCTCGTGTTGTCAAGAAGTTCACTGAATGACTTTGGGTGAGCCATTACTTCTTGTTAAAAAGATAAACAATTATATACAAGACAATTCCTCTCTTCTATTGCTAAATAAAATAAAAGCCCTTATATTACTAACACAGTAATGGCCATTGAACTTTAAAATAATCAAAACAGATGCATGTGACAACATGGAAGCTAGATAGTCAAACAATAAATGAATTAAGTCTCCAGCATCCTCTAAACTCTATTCTGATTAAGCCTCTTGTCACCATTATAAACAGCAATCCTTATTCTGATGAGAGCTCAAACAGTATAACAGTCAAGAGTATGAGTAGACCAGTCCAACCTAAGTGGGTTCTGGCAAGCCAAGGGCCTCTCAGCATAATCTGGCAGGACTACCAAGATCGTGCATATGCAGCCCTTTTGAACAAAACCTGCCAGATATTATTGTTTCAAGGCATTGCAAAACAGTCTTGAGCCTGAGTATTGTAATCCCCCCAAATTACCTGCCTCTGTCTCCTTTCCCCAGCTTCTGTCTCAGGGAAGCAGCAGCAGCTGAGAAAATGGACAGTCACTGCAGTCGCTGCGGTCTCCTTCCTTCCTTTCCCAACTGCTGTCCCAACCAGCAACAAAAGGTGGGCAAACAGCACAGAAGAAGAGGAGTTTCTCATGGCTCCCCAGTAGTACCTTTCTATTAATCACTCCATCAAGAGGCTACATTTAGGATTATTCTTTTATCTGGCATTTTTAAAAAATGAGCTTTTATATTGGTTTATAATTATTCATAAAAACTGGACATTTTGACAAAAACTGGGTTACTGTACATTGTTCCAAATTTTCTGAAGTAAATATAGTTACCCTGGGTAGATTCCCAATCATCTTCTAGAGTAACACGAAGAAATGGGCAACTACTCCAGGAAAAAATAAGCTAGAAAATTTAACAAGGTGGTTCTGCCTCACTAAGTTTTGGCAGAGAATAAGAATGAATTTATACGGACCTGCTAAAAGTCTTAATGTTAGTCATCAAATCTGGAACGGTTTCTGTAATTCACTCTAGAGTTATCTCCCTGCTTGCATTAGAGACTGTCAGAACAGGGGGAACAGGAACTATGCTAGAACTCCCCCCTCCCCCCCCCAACATGTGTGATGGAGGCAGGGGATGTTTTTTATTTGTTTCACTCTCTCTTTTTATTGGAGAAATGCTCTGACCACGATTAAAGTAGAAGGCAAATGCACAATCCCTTCCTTGTAATTCTCTATCTTTGATATATTTGCCTAAAACCTGCCAGATAACAGTGATTACTGGATCTGTTCTGGAAACACACCCTTCCTATCCAATGTTGTGGTTCCAGCTCAAACTCTAGAAGAAACAGAACTCTGCCCTGTCTCTAAATGCACTATGAGCACAAGTCCTCAGTGATGTGCATAATGTTCAGACTTTAAGGTGCGAATTTGAGAGCTCCACTATTAAACAGAGAACCTTTTAATTACCGTAATATTCGAGGTAGTTCTGGACTCTTGTAGATATATTTATGCCTGTAGCCTAGGTCTGTATGAAATGGAATGAACTGCACTTTGTGATCACGGAAATTCCGAGATGGGGCAGCAATATTGTAGAGCTGTGAGAAGAGATAAAAGGCAAATATCAATCAATGAAATACAGAGCAGCAGCCTAAGCAATCGGAAATCCTTTACACAGAAGTTGCTTATGTCTACAACTGTCCTTGATTTCATTAAGTAACAATTTTAGCCATAACAGTTTCTCTGTTCACTTGAAACAATTATGCTAATTTTACTCACAAGGGCACATATGTCACTCCACATCAGTTAATATCCTTTAACCATGCTTCGACCACTATTCCTACAGCTGGAATCAGCTAGGGAACAGTAAAAACAGACAACCTTTTCCTACTCATCCAATGAATAGTTATGGACCTGTGCCCCTTAAAGCTGGAATCAGCTAGGGAACAGTAAAAACAGACAACCTTTTCCTACTCATCCAATGAATAGTTATGGACCTGTGCCCCTTAAAGCTGGTAAAACTGGTGAAGTGAGAGGTTACGAGGCCCCCTTGAAGATATCATCAATTTGTCCCTGGGTTCTGGGACCTTCCCAGGGGGGCTGAAGGAGGCAGTGGTTATTCCGCTCTTGAAAAAAACAAACTCACACCCATTCCATTCCCATTAACTTTGTACACCCATTCCATTCCCATTAACTTTGTATGGGTACAGAAATCCTGGCTGCACTTAGGGAGTAACAGGACAGGTGGTAAGAGAAGCTTCAGGGTCATTAAATTATATGTAAAGTCATAGAGAGATGTAATAGAAACAAGAGACACAGAGAAAACTGCATAAAGCCAGACCCTGTCCATGGTGCTGTTCCTGACCCAACACTAAACTGTTTTTCTTACATGCAAGTAGGTGTAAACAAAACCCTGAGACCTGCAAGGAAAAGGAGCCCTTGAAAAGGGAGCCATTTTCAGAGAAGTGGATGAAGAGAGAAAAGGGGCACTTGGCACTTTTCTTGCCTGCTGCTTTAAGCAACATGATGAAGGGAGCTGCACTGAATTGTTACTTCAGAAGCTTTTTCTTACAAACAGCAGGTATCAGGGCTTTGTTAAGTCCAAGGCTATATACCATTTGGCCCACAGATGCTGATTTTGATGCAGCCCTATCCCTACAATGGATCCTTTTGTAGTTCATTCATGTGGGTAGGAATGGGGAACTTTGTAGAAGTACCTTCTTTCCAAGATGAAACGGCACAACTGGATCATCTTCAGCATGAAGAATAAGCAGAGAGCATGAAATATGCTTCACACTGTCAAAAAAATCAAAGCAAGTGTTTGCATTATTTATTGATATCTGTTAACAGGATCAACGCAATGCTTGCAATGAGAATGGGTCTGGTCTGTTGTCCATCTGATATGCTTCCTTTCTCCATTCATCACATGTGGAGTGGAGATGGAGAACCTCTTAAACTAGAAAGTCTTCAATCTGACCATGATCTGTAACATTTTGGCATCATGACAAACTGGGATTTATTTCTTACCTATGGCAAGATTCTGAAGCAGGATTAGATTGCTAAAACAAAATAATGTGGATTGGCCACCACTGATTTCCTTTCACTTAACTTGAAAAATACAAGATTTTAAAATAATTTATAAAAACTTGAGTTCCTAGCCCATAGCTCAGAGCAGCAACAGGGAGAAAGCAAGAGAATTGCCTATTAGTGCCTGTCCCAAATGATGAGAAGTTGCACTTCTCATGAAAATGGAAGACACTGAAGGGGAAAGATTTTCCTATGAAGCTCAGCAATACAGCTGAAGGCTGCTCAGTTAGTCCTGAGTGACAGTGTGAATACGATGAGTGAAACAATTACAGAGTCTGCAAGCAAGAAAGAGGAGCACATACCCTCGGGCCTCACTATAAATGCACCATCAAATCCATAATGTAATTATAGTGCTGATGCCCATGGTCTGCGCGTAAGATCCGAAAGCCGAGAAAGATCTATGCAGCGTCGAAGAAAAGCCTGCAATAGGCCATTCGGCCAGACAGTGGCAGTGATGCGCTGCGACTGAGATAATGCTGACGACATCAAGCGACGCCGAAAAAAGGAATGCTGCCGGGAACACTTCTGGACCGTACAGCCGACCAAACTCTGTCGACTACGAAATGTGTGTGATTTATTGATATATGTTGTCCTCCCTTACCCCCAGCATTGTTAGTCCCATGTGAAATTCAGGAGTAACTGTAAATCACTCAGAGCCGGCAGCTCTGCATGGATTAAGCGATCAATAAATGGAAAGATTATTATTATTATTATTTTCTTAAAGACCTTGTCTTTCAGCTAAATATTACCTACAAAGCAACTTAAAGTTTAAAAGAGAGGTGAAGAAATGACCTTTACTTCAAGGGATACATCCCAATATTTTGAGGTTTGGGGGTTGCAAAACCCCCAGAATTGGTTTTAAATGTTTTTCTTTCCTGTTGGCAAAGTCAGGTGTGAAGGGCATAGGTGATTCTTCCCAATTATCACCGATCCTATGCACTGCTCTGTCAAGTACCCAAGCCATCAAAGCTTTATGAAAGCAAATGGCTCTCCCAGCAGAAAACAATGAAATAGCCAGCTCACACTTGCTGTACAAGAGGCTAGACCAGGGGTGGCCAAATTGTGGCTCAGGAACCACACGTGGCTCTTTCACACACACTGTGCAGCTCCCAGCAGGGCAGCTGGGGAAGCAAAGGGGAGGCATGCCTCCCCGACTGATCTTCCCTTCCCCAGCCAGTGTTCCCCTCCCTAGGTAGGTTTGAGGTGAGGGAGGGAGCAGAGAAAAAAGCAACTTTAACTATAAATGCATTCTCAAAGCCCCCCCCCCAATTGGCTGGCTTGGAGAAGGCATTTGTCTCTTTAAATCCTTTCTCCAAGCCAGCCAAGGAGAAGTGGGCTTGGAAGACACATTTAAAGTTGCTTTGTTTCCACTTCTCCCTTTCTCCTCATCTATTTGCTTTCTTGGGGTTTTTTTACTCTCTCTCTCTCTCTCTTTCCCCCTCCCTTCCTCCCCCATCTATTTGCTTTCTTTCTGCCTTTCTTTCTCTTTCTCCCTTCCTTACTCTCTTCTTTCCTCCCCCCATCTATTTACTTTCTTTGTTTTTCTCTTTCTTTCTTTCCACCTCTCTTTCTTTCTCTCTCTCAAATAAATATAATTAGCAAACAAATATCATTGGACAAATAATCAATATCTGTTTTTATCCCCTTTGTTTTTATTTTTGGCAGCCTCATTTAATGTTAATAAAAAGCAAATGTGTATATTTTTCAATAAAATGTGTGTGTAACACTTGTTCACCTCTTGCAACTCTCAAACATCTGATGTTTATTCTATGTGGCTCTTATGTTGAGCAACTTTGGCCACCCCTGGGCTAGACTGTGTCTTCCTAGAAGGGAAGATCTGACCCACAGGCAGATGGGTAGGCAGAAAAGATAAATTCCCTTGGCAAGGAGGGAACAGTGTGTATTTTGGCTGATTTCATCTGGAGGAAGGAACTTTCACACTGGAGTTCCATCTTGATGGCCAACATTGCCATGTGAGGCTGAAAAGCAGCTCACAGCCCAGGAAAAGACTCCAATGTAATGGGAAGCTTTCAGAATACAGTAACTTCTAAGTTTAAAGAGCCTGCCTTAAAACAGAGTCAGCTAGGTCCTAGGACAGAGGACTGCACATTTGCACTTTTCTTTGTATTCATTGCTCAATCTGTTGCTGTGCAGAGTATATTATGGGCTTTTCTTTTTCAATAAATTCTTTTCTATTTGAAATGCTGGTATTTGCTCTCTGTACCACACAGACCTCCACTATTCAAACATGGGACCTAAAATGGTTGCCAGGGGAAGAGAGGTGGTTAGTTGCTAGACTGCCATTTCCCTGGCAGTGCACACACATGGTAAGCTGTCTGACTGGTAACTAGTTGTTGATAGTGGGAGATGTGGGCAGTAGGCAGAGCCTTTAAACTGCAACACAGAAGGGAAGCAAGCAGCACTGCTTTTCTTGGTGGAAATGTCCAAAATTTAACCAGCTGTGACAGTGTACTAAAGAAGAAGAAGAAGAAAAAGAAGAAGAGATTGGATTTATACCCCACCCTTCACTTGGAGTCTCAGAGCGGCTTACAAACTCCTTTCCCTTCCCCTCCCCACAACAAACACCCTGTGAGGTGGGTGGGGCTGAGAGAACTCTGACACAAACTGCTCTTTTTCAAGGGCAGCTGTGCCAGAGCTTGTGACTGACCCAAGGTCACATCAGCAGGTGCAAGTGGAGGAGTGGGGAATCAAACCCGGTTCTCCCAGATTAGAGTCCGCGCACTTAACCACTGCACCAAACTGGCTCTCAGAAGCATGAGGAAACCCCTTCAAAAGTCAGCAGACTTGGGAAAGCAGTACATCATCAACTGGAGAATCAGGACAACCACTGAATGCCTAGACACCTTGGAGGGATGGCACAGGGCTTATGGTT